CAGGGACTGGTGGCTCAGGGGGTGGAGAATGGGAGAAGGGGCTTCTCCTTCCTCGGGGGCATTGGTTCCTGGACTGGCCGGCTCAGGGGGTGGGAATGGGGCAGAGAGCCTCTCTTTCCTAGGGAAATAATACAGCAACTTAAACCACTAGACCCCTCCCCCCTCCCAGAGCCAGGGAGAGAACCCAGGAGTCTTGGCTCCTGTTCCAATGTCTCCACTGAAGTGGCTGCTTCTTGGGGTGGGGCGTCAGGTTCCCAGCCTGAATGAGGTGGGAGCCATGTGTGGACATGGAAGGGGTGGGATGGAACTGGGGTAATGGGTCTGGGAGATGGGACTGATTGGGGGAGGAGTGCTCTCAGTTTTTGCCCCTGCCCCCTAGGCCAATGGGTGTAGCTGGGCCCTTAGGCCCTGCCAGACTGGCAGTCCTCCACCTGGCTCAGACAGCACAGGCAGAGAGCCGCCTGCTCCAAGCTGGCCATGGGACCCTCTGCCCCAGAATCCTGCCCCTCCCATGGGCCCATCCAGCCCAGGATACAGTGTCACAGTCCCTTTGGCATGCGTGGAGTGTTGGCGGGCAAGTGCGGGTGTTTAGCCGTTTGTGCGAGAGCCCAGGCGTGTGCTACCGCACGTGTGTGGCTGCGTGTGCGAGGTGCTTGGCGTGCCCTTTCCCCGAGGGTGCGGAGGTCTTGTGGGCTGCCTGCGTTCTTGGCATAACCAATCTTTGCTGGTGCAGCACGGCGGTGAATGCCAGGAACGGAGAGGGATGGGACAGTGACTCCGGGGGCAGATTCCGAGGGGTCTAGAGGTGAATCGGGGGGGATCAGCACACTGACCGGACACACTGCAGCTCCTCTCTCATCCGGACCTTCCCGTTGAAAACTAGACCCGTGGCAGCCTGACGGGTGGAAGGCTGGTGTGAGGCCCAATGGTTGGGGGACAAGCATGGGGCACACTGGTTGGGGGTTGGCCTGTGGCCCACTGGTGGGGGCCAACCTAACACACAGTGGTGGGAGGGCCAGTCTGGGACCCAGGCTGTAACTGGTGCAGACGGGTGTCAAGCAGTACCTGGCCTCTTGAAGGGGGTCTCATCCAGCCCCCAGGCAGGGCCTGGCAGGCTCAGGGGGGCAGGGAATGGGGATATGGAGCCGTTCCCCTCTAGGGGGCACCAGCTCCCATCCATGAGCCTAATTCTCTTTCTTTCCTTTTCTTTCTCTTCTTTACCTCGATCCTTGCTGTAACTGGTGCAGACGGGTGTCAAGCAGTACCTGGCCTCTTGAAGGGGGTCTCATCCAGCCCCCAGGCAGGGCCTGGCAGGCTCAGGGGGGCAGGGAATGGGGATATGGAGCCGTTCCCCTCTAGGGGGCACCAGCTCCCATCCATGAGCCTAATTCTCTTTCTTTCCTTTTCTTTCTCTTCTTTACCTCGATCCTTCCCGCCCCCTTTGCCTCCTTCCCCACCCATCCCTCCTTTATACCCTCTTCTGCTTCCCTTCTCCCTCTCCCTTCCCGCTGATTCCTCCCTCCTCTCTCATCCCCCTGCTCCCCTCACCTCATTGCTGCCCCCCCCTTGCGCCTACATGCCCCCCCTCACCTATGCACCCCCCGTGTCCCCGTGTCCCTCCCCTGGAACCCCCCTTCCCGGTACAATGCAGGGGAAGTGCTGAGGCCCTGCGAGATGAGCCTGTCCCCTGGCCCCCCCGCTGCTAGGATGCTCTTTGTGTTGGCTCTGGCCTGCGCCAGCCCCTTCCTGGATCTGCGCCCTGACGGGCCGCGCTCCCTCAACGTGGCCATCATCTTCAGCGGCTCGTCCTACACTCCCGAGAGCACCCGCTTTGCGCCCACTGCCTTCCGCAACTTCTCAATGGAGGTGAACCCCGTCTCGGTGCTGCTCAATGACACCAACCCCCGCAGCCTCATCGTGCGCCTATGTGACGTTCTCTCCTCCCTGCGCATCCATGGCGTGGTCTTCGAGGATGACACCCGCACCGAGGCTGTGGCTCAGATCCTGGACTTCATCTCAGCTCAGACCTCAGTGCCCATCATCGGCATCAATGGCGGCTCGGCCATCGTGCTCACACCGAAGGTTTGGGGGGGGGTCATTGGGCTTGAAACCTGCTCTCCTTTGCCATGTGCTTATCCCTATCCCTACCCCTGTGCCCAAACTCAGCCTTAACATGATCATGCTCACCTCGATCCAGCAAAATCAAACTCAACCCAACTCAAGCACAGCCATCCCAAACCCAACCCAAGCACAGCCAACCCAAAACCAACCTGAGCACAGCCAACCCCCACCCAACCCACCACACTCAACCCAACCCAAGCACAGCCAACCCCATACCCAACCCACCACACTCAACCCAACCCGAGCATAGCCAACCCAAACCCAACCTGAGTACACCCAACCCCAACCCAACCCACCACACTCAACCTAACCAGAATCCAACCCAAGCATAGCCAACCCCTGCCCAAACCCACTATACTCAACCCAACCTGAGCACAGCCAACCCAAACCCAACCCGAACGCAGCCAACCTGAGCACACCCAACCCCTACCCAACCTGAGCAAAGCCAACCCCTACCCAAACCACCACACTCAACCCAACCCTAACCCAACCAACCTGAGCACAGCCAACCTGAACCCAACCCGAACACACCCAACCCCTACCCACCCTGAGCAAAGCCAACCCCTACCCAAACCCATCACACCCAACCCAATCCCAACCCAATGCCATCAGCTGAACCCAATTCAACTCAACCCATCACAAACCAACCTTGAAACTCAACCTAACCATACTCAATCCCAATCCACCCCAAACCAACCACACTCATCCCAACCCCTAACCAAACCACAGTCAATTCAATCCAACCACACTCAACCCAACCCAACCACCCTTAGCTCAACTCCACCCATCCCAAATCAACCACACTCAACGCAGCCCCAACGCAACCACCCTTAGCTCAACTCCACTCATCCCAAATCAACCACACTCAACGCAACCCCTAACCAATCCACAGTCAATTCAATCCAACCCCATTCAACCCAACACAACCCCAACCACTCTCAGCTCAACTCCATCCACCTCAAACCAACCCCAGTCAACCCAATGCAACTCCAACCACCCTCAGCTCAACTCCGCCCATCCCTAACCAACCACACTCAACCCAACCCCTAACCAATGCACAATACATTGAATCCAACCACATTCAACCCAACCCCAACCCAACCACCCTCAGCTCAACCTAACCCCACCATATTCAACCAATTTCAATCCTAATCCATCCCAACCATGCTGAACTCATTCCAACCCTGGCCCAACCAGCCCACACTGAACTCCAACCTGACCGTGTTCCTTGTAAGCTGTGCATTTGGGCAGCTGCACAGGAGAGAGTCAATGCCATCCAGCTGATTAGCAGAGTGCCCACAACTGGGTTTTTTGCTTTACTTGTGGTGCACGTTTCCGCCTGCTTTGGTGCACATACAAATTTATTCCTTACATGAATGGAAAAGATTAGAGGGAACAAACCCAACCAAACCACAGTCAAACCATCCCAATCACTCTTCAAACCAACCTCAATCACACTCCATTCATTCACAGTCAACCCAGCTGCAGCTCAGCTCAACTCATCACCACCCAATGCCCAATATTGGTATCAATGGGGGGGAGAGGTCTTCATGCTCCAAATTTATTCCTTACATGAATGGAAAAGATTAGAGGGAACAAACCCAACCAAACCACAGTCAAACCATCCCAATCACTCTTCAAACCAACCTCAATCACACTCCATTCATTCACAGTCAACCCAGCTGCAGCTCAGCTCAACTCATCACCACCCAATGCCCAATATTGGTATCAATGGGGGGGAGAGGTCTTCATGCTCACTAATTCCAGCCATCGGATGCAACAAAGATCAGCCTACACAATGCCATATAACACAGTCCATCCCGCCATAATGGAAACCAGCATATTGACCCAATCCAAGCAATCCAGCCCAGCCCAATGCAACCCAAACCAAGCAACATAACCCAACCCAACCTCATATCCTAAGTCTAACCCAGTGCAGCCTCTCTCAGCCCACCCCGCCGTGCCCCTGTGCCCACCATGGGCTGTGTGTGTGAGGCTGGGATTGTGGAGGGACAGGGGGAAGTCCAGGGGCTGCATTGCCCAGAAGCTGTGGTGTAGGTGTGAGATGCCTCAGCAGAAGTGCAGGAGGAGGGGTTGTGCAGGGCCAGACTAGCAGTGGCTACAGGCCACGCCTGAGGGGCACTGATAGAACGGGGAGGTGGGAGCCCCCAGCTGGGACAGCAGAAAGCGGCAGGTTGGGACAGAGGAGCACCCTCTGACCGCACCCTTTGCCCCCTGCTCAGGAGAAAGGCTCCACCTTCCTGCAGCTCGGCTCATCAACGGAGCAGCAGCTACAGGTGATGTTCGAGGTGCTGGAGGAGTATGACTGGACGGCCTACGAGTGCTTCGTGGACTATATCGAGGTGCTGACCGACAGCAGCTTCATTGGCTGGGAGCACCGGGGCGTCCTGACCCTCAACCTGACTGATGACCCGGATGGCTCCCGGCTCAAGCGCCAGCTACGGGAGATCCCTGCCCAGATCCGCCTGCTCTACTGCTCCCGGGAGGAAGCGGAGGCTGTCTTCCGGGCAGCGCGGGACGCCGGCCTCACTGGGCCGGGCTATATTTGGTTCATGGTGGGCACCAACCTCGGTGGCACTGACTACATGCCGGAGCACCTGCCTGTTGGCCTCTTCACGGTGCTGTCAGCTGGCTGGAGCTACGGGAGATCCCTGCCCAGATCCGCCTGCTCTACTGCTCCCGGGAGGAAGCGGAGGCTGTCTTCCGGGCAGCGCGGGACGCCGGCCTCACTGGGCCGGGCTATATTTGGTTCATGGTGGGCACCAACCTCGGTGGCACTGACTACATGCCGGAGCACCTGCCTGTTGGCCTCTTCACGGTGCTGTCAGCTGGCTGGCGGGACGATCTGCACCATCGTGTCCAGAATGGGGTGGCCATCATTGCCAAGGGTGCCGAAGCCCTCGCCAGGGACTACGGCTTCATTCCGGAGTTCAACAATGACTGCCGGGCGCCCAACCTCAGCCAGATCCACGAGAATCTCCACCGGTGAGTGGTGGGAGGGGCCTGCACCCGCGGACAGAGGGGAAGAGCTACAAGAACATGGGGCCCGTCAACCCCATCCATCTCTAGTTCCAGCCCAACTAGGGGTGTTAAATATCGATTTGTTCAATTGTCAAGTAACCTCATGGATTTTTACCGGTTAGTCGACTGTTCTATAGTCTCTGGGGGCGGGGCCAGGCGGGAACTGGTCCACAAGGAGAGTCAGTTTAAAAGCCAGCTCCCCTCATGGACTAGCTGCCAGTCACCCAGTGCTGCTGCCTCTGATAAAGAGGCAGCAGCGTGGAGTGGCAGCAGCCCCTGTCTAAGGTGGGGTCTGAGCTCCTGGTGCGAGCTGGCCAGAACTGAGCCGGGCTGCTGGCCAGCCTGCTAAAAATGTACTGGCAAGGGGGGGGGAGGAATGCATATAGTCTGTAGCATTAACCAATCAGCTTTTGCTTACCGCTTAATCGACTGCACTATTGCATCCCTCAATCCACCAGAGCTAATCCAGTGGGGGGAGGAGGGGCAGGGCAGATGTATGGGAATCTGGTGCCCATCAGTGTAAATCCAGCTCAGCAAACCCAGTCCAACACCCCACAAGCCGACAAGGCCAGCCCACCTCCGTCAGCCCAACTGAACAGAACTGCCCCAGTAGGGGAGATGAGCAATCCCACCGCAACTGGTATGGATGCGGGGGGCAGATCTGCCCATCAGTGGAACCCAACCCCACTGACCCCAGCCCAGTCCAGCTGCACTCACCCCAAACCAGCAGAACCAAGCCAGTGGGGGCGGGGACACATCCCTGGCACCCCACAGTGCCCCGGAGAGCGGCCTAGAAGAGGAAATGGGGCTTGGGGTGCTAGCTGCAGGGCCCGAGCCTGGCTGGCTCACTGGCCAGGGAGTAGCCTATGAAAGCTCCGTAAGAAGGCAGAGGGTCAGCAGCTAAGCCGGAGGGTGCTGGGTTCCCCCTAACCCTCTCCCACCGCCAGGTACTTCATGAACATTACCTGGGGGCAAAAGGATTTCTCCTTCAACGCCGATGGCTACCTCATCAACCCCTCGCTGGTCGTCATTTCCCTCAACAAGGAGCGCATCTGGGAGGTGGTGAGTACCTGGCCTGTCCAACCCGCCCCTGCCGGAGC